AATCCCCTCTGTTTTGATCCAGAATAAAAGTAAAGACAAGAAAGGCTGCGGTCACATGGAGCATTAGCCACACTACAGAGACGGAAGATAGGTGGATTTTCCAGGCACAATCACACCGCAACATCTGGGAAGCGTAGAGCTCCCGTGGCAAACCTGAGGCTTCCCGCCGAAGATGCGGAGTTAAAAACTAGTACCTCCGAGGTACTAGTTTCCGGAAACCACGGGGCAAGGGCATGCATCTGATCGCGTTTCCGGTGGTGGCATCCGGCGCTCGCCCATGTCCCTTCGAAAACAGTTTTTTCCCCCCAAGTCTCCACAAGATGCGCACAAGCACCCAACGGCGCATGCGCACAAAGAGAGGCTTCACCACGTGACCGCCCCGCCCCCTAGAGGTTCTCTTCCGGAGCTCCGTACCTGAGAGCTCCCCCCCGACTAGAGCCCTGCTTTTCCCCATTTTGAATAGAGCCAAAACAAGAATGTTTCATATCCTCTGCAGTCTGCAGTGATGGGTGACCAACAGACTGCAACATTATTCTGCTCCACAAATTCTAACGAAAGCATTCTGTGGCTGCAGTCACACGGAGCATTACCCATGCTACAGAGACACAAGATAGGTGGATTTTCCGGGCGCTATCACACCGCAACATCTGGGAAGTGTAGAGCTCCCGTGGCGAACCCGAAGCTTCCTGCCGAAGATGCAGAGTTAAAAACTAGTACCTCCGAGGTACTAGTTTCCGGAAACCGAGGGGCAAGGGCTGGCGTCTGATCGCGTTTCCGGTGGTGGCATCTGGCGCCCGCCCATGTCCCTTCGAAAACAGTTTCCCCCCCCAAGTCTCCACAAGATGCGCACAAGCACCCAATGGTGCATGCGCACAAAGAGGAAAGCGAAAGTGCCATTTCGGCTTTAAAAAAAAAAGACCCCGTTTGTCCTGGCAGTGGCGCCTAGCCATTGCTGGTGTGATCGCGCCGTGCCGCTTCTTTGCCACGCTGCAGGATCGTTGTGTGATCGCCACCCTCATTTACCCGCCGGCGCAGAGGGAAGGACCCGTGGTGTGCCGCCAGCGCGTCTGATCGCGTAATCGCGGATCAAACTGCGCCGGGGCAATTAGCCATGCCTCCCCCGTGTGACCGGGGCCTGTGTTTCCCTTACTGGAAAAAAACAGCTAAGGTTGCAATCTTACATGGAGTTATTACAGTTTCAACCCGGTGATTTTTCAATAGGCGTCTGGCCTGTGTGACTGGGGCCTGTGTTTCCCTTACTGGAAAAAACATCTAAGGTTGCAGTCTTACACAGAGTTATTACAGTTTCAACCCGGTGATTTCAATAGGTTAGACTGAAGCAACTCTGCTTAGGGTTTCTCTGTAAGAGGCTCTAGAATGGAATTATAAATTTAAGGATGACAGCCAAGAAATGTCTGCTTGCAATTCAGGGTTGCCAGCTCCAGGTTGGGAAATACCTGTACCTGGAGATTGTGGGAATGACGCCTGAGGAGGGCGGGGCTTGGGGAGGGGAGTGGGGTAGAATGCCATAGGGTCCGCCTTCCGAAGAGGCCATTTTCTGCAGGTGAACTGATCTCTGTCATCTGGAATTGTCATCCCAGGAGGTCTCCAGCCAATTCTTTGAACTGCAGCTACCAGCAGTTAAGATTCAATGAAGTTACATGGCTCAATCTACTGAGATATTCAGTTTCAATGTGGCTTGTGCAAAGCCCCTCCCTGTTGACTGTGCCCAGCTTAACAAACTCTTAAACAAGAAACAAATTCGGCAGGAATTTACCAGGCAAAGTTGGGGCCATTTACCTCAACAATACTTGTGAGAATTCTCTCTGCTGCTCTGATCCCTGATGCTCTGATTCTCTAATGCCACATGAAATGGTATAAACTCCACGCCTGTTCTCTTAATTTTTCCAATGCACTGCCGGGACTAAGTAGTGTTGAGTCATGTGAGAGATGCTTGGGGAACACAAGCTCTGCAGCTGACAGCAACATTTCTCGATTTTCAGGGAGCTGCTAGGGCTGTGGCGGGGGTGCACCATTTCATACTTCAGCGGAGGCTTAGATGATTGAATTCTTTATTTAAAAATATCCTTGTACATAGAAATCTAATGTGTCAGAGAAGAAGAGGAGGAGGAGGAGGAGGAGAAGGAGGAGGAGGAGATTGGATTTATACCCTGCCCTTCACTACCCAAAGGAGTCTCAGAGCGGCTTCCAAACTCCTTCCCCTTCCCCTCCCCACAACAGGCATCCTGTGAGGTAGGTGGGGCCAAGAGAGCTCTTTTGAGGACTGCTCTTGACAGAACAGCTCTGAGAGAACTTGTGCCCAACTTAACAAACCCAAGGTCATGCCAGCTGCATGTGGAGGAGTGGGAAATCAAACCTGGTTCTCCAAGATTAGAGTCTGCGCTCCTAACCACTACACCAAACTGGTAGGCCTGCCTTATTCCTGACATCCTGATTTTCTACATGTGGGGTTTTTGTTTTTTGGCATGGTATTCGTGTGAACTGCCTTCCCAATCTTCAGTGGTACAAAGCAAGTACAAATGGCGAACCTAAACAGCATGATAAAAAGTAGAGACATCACCCTGCCAACAAAAGTCCGCATGGTCAAAGCAATGGTATTCCCAGTAGTCATGTATGGCTGTGAGAGTTGGACTATAAGGAAGGCCGAGCGCCGAAGAATAGATTCTTTTGAACTATGGTGCTGGAGGAGACTCTTGAGAGTCCCTTGGACTGCAAGAAGAACAAATCAGTCAATCCTCAAAGAAATCAACCCTGACTGTTCCCTGGAAGGCCAGATAATGAAACTGAAGCTCAAATACTTTGGCCACCAAATGAGAAGGGAGCACTCACTGGAGAAGACCCTGATGCTGGGAAAGATTGAAGGTCAAAGAAGACGGGGACGGCAAAGGATGAGATGATTGGACAGTGTCATCGAGGCAACGAACATGAAACTGAGCAAACTTCAGAGGACAGCGGAAGACAGGAGGGCCTGGCGGGATCTAGTCCATGGGGTCGCGAAGAGTCGGACTCGACTGTGCGACTGAACAACAAAAATTCGTGTGAACTGCCTTCCCAATCTTCAGTGGTACAAAGCAAGTAGAGGTTTAGCACCTTAAAGATGCCTTGGTTTCCTTCCACTGAATAGTTTATATAGCTTGCTAGCGTATTAAAATTTAGGGTTGGGGATGCTTGTAACATGTCATCTTGATGAGACCGAGGGAGGGATGGAAATCAAAATACAACACTTCTTCCGATTCCAGTTAATGGCAAGCACCCGCCTGCCTGGGGTGCTCTTTAAACTGCAAAGAGGGAGGAAACCTGACTGTTTATAGCAGGACTCTGCAAACGATGACTCCAGAGCCAGATATGGTTATGTACAGAACCAAATATGGCTCTTTTTAAAAAGAGGGATATTGGAGGAGTAGATGGGACGCTGGCATAAGCAAAGATTGTTGTGGGTACAAAAGGGCTTCTTAGAGATGCTTTTTGCACGGGGAAACGAGAGAGGTGAACAGTTGCCACCAAATCCAAATGCAAACTGTGCACAGATTTAGGCCAGTGAGCGAAAAGATTCTCACAGGGTTCTCCTAGGTATATTTAATGTGAGATCCTGTGTGTGTCACTTCCTAACAAAGGACTTACAAAAACCACTGTTCAGGGTGCTGAAACTTTATGGATTCCCAGCCAAATTGACAATGATGAGTGAAATTAAATTGTATAGTTTCAATTATAAAAATGGACTTTCTTTCTTTGTCATTCCCGTGTTCTGAATGTTGATCCTGTGTGTGTCACTTCCTAATAAAGGACTTATAAAAACCACTGTTCAGGGTGCTGAAACTTTATGGATTCCCAGCCAAATTGACAATGATGAGTGAAATTAAATTGTATAGTTTCAGTTATAAAAATGGACTTTCTTTCTTTGTCGTTCTCGTGTTCTGAATGTTGATGTACTTTGGTGCTTTAATTCTAAAAGGACGCTGATCCTTGGTTCACAGTATCCTAGCAAAGAGGTGAAATCAGGACCTGGGAATGCATTCTGCAAAAAGACTTAGACATAGAACTATAATTTTAAAAGCTGGAAAAGTGTTTATTATCAAAAGCAATCAGAAACGTATATGGCAATGCAAGACACCAACCAGACTGGCATTGCAGACAAGAGTTGGATTTGTTTCCCTCAGAAGCCTGCAAACCCCAGAACTGCTGCCAGGTCCCTCCTGGGGCAACCGGCAGGAGATGGTGGGGGACTGACGAGGAGACAGTGAAAGGCCCAGGCCACATTGCGGGTGTCACACAGGAAGTGATGTCATCACATCAGCAACTTCTGGGTGATGCTCTGGTAGTGGGCCAAAAACTCACTGGTAAAACTGGCTTCTGCCATAGAGTTTTCGCCCAAATACCAGAGCATCACCAGGAAGTTGCTGGCATGATGTTACTTCCTGTGCAATGCTGGCAATGTGGCCTGGGCCTTCTTCTTTCTACTGGTCAGTCCCCCTGCTGGCCAGCTGATTGGTGGCTCTGACAACCCTAGCATCAGAAGACCAAAGCACCCAGACAACCAAATCAATCACATTTAAACCTTCCCGGGTGATTTGAAGCTAATGTTCTGGATTAGATGAGAAGCTTATTCTTTGCCAGGGGGAGAAAGAGTTAACAGAATGCCTCCTCCAGCAGCCAGTGGAGGTGGAGGAAGCCTGAAATAAGCGCACACATTCTTCAGCTGACAGCTTGAAGCTGAGGGTGACGTGTTTTAGCCAACCAGACTTGGAAATCTACCTAACAAAAACTGGGGGTTTGCCACAAGCGCCAACCTCAGTTAGGGCCCCGGCCCAGTTGCCTTCACCCGTGCAGCCCATGAGAAAGCTGTGCCTCAGCTAGCAGGACTGGCCAGTCCATCTTTGCCCGTCTCTCCAGTCACTGGATAAATACCATCCTTCATTCCCAGGCTGGCTGCCTGTAAGGTAAGCAGCAGCCCAGGTCAGGGTTGTATGACAGGAAAGGCACTAGAGGACCATCTGCAGTACCGGCCGGGTCACCCAGTCTGCAAAGTCCAGATGGGAGACACACGTGACTGCCACGTGGACATTTGGTAAGTTCCGTGCTGGGGATGTAATTCCAAGGCACATGCATGTCCTGCTGGAGCCAGGAACACAGTGAGCCATTTGCTTGACCTGAAATTAGGGTTTCCAGCCTCCAGCCGGTAGCTGGAGATCTCCTGGGATGACAACTGATCTCCAGGTGACAGAGATCAGTTCACCTGGAGAAATCGGCTGATTTGGAAGGTGGACTCTATGGCCTTCTACCCCACTGAAGCCCCCCCTCACCAAACCCCGCCCTCCCCAGGCTCCACCCCCAAAGTCTCCAGGTATTTTTCCAACCCAGAGCTGGCAGCCCTCGCTGAACTGGACCCTGGGAAGCTCTCCGTCCCAGTGGGGGAATGTGCATCTCTCTTTCAGCACATGTACGTTTCCCCAGCAGGACTAAGAAGGGCTCGGTCAGGAAACCAGCATGGGAAGGTCCCAATCCAAAGAGGGCCTGCATTCGCCTAGGAGTTAAGTTCCCAGGGTGGAACTCACAGACCACGTGTGTTGATGACTATGAAACTGCGTGATCCAGCCCCTCAGCAACTGGGCATGCCACTCAGAGGCCACTCTGGTACTTTCCGCATTGGCCCGCCACTCCGGATTTTCTCAGAGTTCGAGTCGAGGCAATTTAAGTCCGCGGCAAAATGGCATCCAAATAACCCGGGGCAACAGCAGACTGAAACCAGGCTGACCACTGAAGGGAGGGAATGGGGGGGGGACCCGGAATAAAAAGAAGGTTGAACTCGATTTTGGTGCAGAATTGCTTGGAGGACACCATGGTGAACATGGGTTAAAAGGCGAGGGCAGAAAGAGCATTTGTGCGGGGGAAAGGCAACCTGAGAGTGGGGAAGCAAAGGAACTGTTCCCCGGGCACCACACAGCCAGCTTACAAAAAAGCTACAAACAAAGCAAAGACAGCAAGACAGCCAATCGCTTTGATAAGCAAACAGGGGACTGACGTGGCGTGAGCGCCCGTGCATGCCAGTGCGTGCACCGCACGGGTCTTTGTGGCCTTGACAATCCTCTCCTCCTGGGTTAGGATGGCATCTCTGGCTCCGTCCCACTTCCCGGGACCGTTCAGGCGGAACTGCACTGGGGAGCAGGGCCCAAAGAACACTTTCCAAGCCAGCTTCGGGTCCGTCAGGAAGAGGCGCAGCAGGTCTGGCTTCACTCCCGACAGGGAAGCCAGCTCGTCCACATGATCGACGTACTGCACCTGGAGGGAGATGTGCTGGCTGGGGGCATACCTGGGGACAGCAGAGGGGAATTGTCTGGCATGACTCAGGCCCTGTAGACTGCCACATACACCCAGGCAACACACTCCCTTGACCTATAACAACATCCACTGCAGCATCAGAAGCTCATTCACTTGCTCATCTGCTAACACTGGACATGCCATTAAATGCCAGCAATGCCCTTTTGTTCTCTACACAGGACAAATAGGACAAACCCTGCACCAGAGGATAAACGGACACAAATCAGACTGAGAAACCTGCAGGAGAACACTTCAACCTTTCAGGACATTCAGTGAATGACCTCAGAGTAGCTGTTTTATTACAAAGGAACTTCAGAATGGAAAAGGAGATTGCTGAATTACAAGTTATTACAAGACTCCCCAGGACTTAACAGGGATATTGGTTTCTTTTCTCATTACATATGCTAACTCATTCAGTCCTCATATGTATTCTCATATAGAGGGACTATACATCCTCTGTATTTTAGTGTATTTTTTTCAGAACAGAATACTGAATGCAATGCAAGGAATATTGAAATTACCAACACGGCAGACCACGCCCTCCCCAAATTCAGATTTCCAGCTGGATGTGTCCTGATCAGGCCAAAGGTCCTGCAATCTGACTTTGACGCTGGCCAGATAGATGGCCACTTGAGGTTGCCAGTAAGTCCTCTGTACTATTAGTTCTTTGGAGGCTGTGCAAAAATCCCCTGCGTTATTTAGACAGGCATTTATGTGAATGTGTCTCTGATGGTCTGGGTTTAGAACCAAGATCTTTACCTACATGATGACAGGCTGGCCCCTAGCTACAGTGGGGCTATTGCGGGCTCCGCCCCCTTCCTTAAAAGGCCAGCCCCACAAGATTTTTTTTAGAAGAAGTTGTTTGAGAAGAATCAAGGGGAGCTGTATGCACAGGCCCCCTGCTTCTTCTCAAAAGCATTTAAAGGGATCCTTTAAATGCTTTTGGGAAGAAGCGGGGGATGGTGCGCACCCCTCTCCCTCCTGCCTGCAAGATTGAAAGGGCCCCCTGGCTGACCGGCGGGCCTCCGTGCTCCCTGCAGATCAGCTGAAGGGCCCTTTAAATATTGCAGGAGGGGAGGGAGAGGGGTGGCTGCTGGCCAAGGAAAGGGCCCCATCCCAGAGGGGACAGTACCCCCTCACACTCCTGCCTGGGTGATGTTCCTGACAGGAACAGCCACATCCCGGGCTCTGTCCACGTGGTCTCTTTGTAGGTGCATTCCCAGAATCTTTGAAGCTGGACGGAAACAATCTCCGGGGAAGCCCAGCTTCTGATAAAGACGAGAAGAAGAAAAGATTGGATTTGTACCAACCCTTCACTACCCGAAGGAGCCTCAGAGCAGTTTCACCTTTCCCTCCCCCTCCCCACCACAGACACCCTGTGAGGTAGGTGGGGCTGAGAGAGCTCTCTCAAGGACTGCTCTTGAGAGGACAGCTCTGAGAGGACTTGTGAATGACCCAAGGTCACGCCAGCCGCTGCATGTGGAGGAGCAGGGAATGAAATCTGGTTCTCCCAGATTAGAGTCCGCTCTCCTGCCCACGACAGCAAACTGCTGTGTTCCTGGAACTTCTGAAGCTGGATGGCAACAATCTCCGGGGAAGCAATGACCACACCAGATGTGGGCCCAGTGTGAATCAAGAACCACTGCTTCTGAAGCCCAGCTGCCGATAAAGGGTCCCAGTCCACTTTGTCAAGGGGTACAGCAGAACATTCTATCAGAGGATCCACCTCTATGGAGGAGAGGTCTATCAGTGGCCACTAGCCACGGTGACTAAAGGGAACCTCCATGTTCAGAGGCAGTCAGCCTCTGAATCCCAGTGCCAAGTGGCAACGTCAGGGGAAGGACTCAGCCTCTCTGCCCTGTTGTTGGCCCTCCAGAGGAACTGGTTGGCCCACTGGATGGGACAGGATGTTGGGTTAAATGGACCCTCACTGGTCTGACCCAGCAGGGCTCTTCTGATGTTCTTCTCAGGGGAAGGCCTCGGCCTCTCTGCCCTGTTGTTGGCCCTCCAGAGGAACTGGTTGGCCCACTGGATGGGACAGGATGTTGGGTTAAATGGACCCTCACTGGTCTGACCCAGCAGGGCTCTTCTGAGGTCCTCATTCAGCACCCTGGCCTGCTGCATCAAAAGGCAAACTGAGAGGCTGGCAAGAATTCCCTGCACCTCTAGAGGAGCACTGAGAACCCAAGCAAGGCATGAACCACCCAGAAACCTACCTGGACAAGGCGAGGCAGATTTGCTCTTCCTTGACCCAAAAACTATTGTGAAAGAGAAACCTGGTACAGATCCAGTTTAAGTGAGAGACTACCCTTGTGTACGTAAAACTGGTTTCTCACCATTTCTCGTTTTTCTTAATCTTCTTGGCAATGTCATCCATCATCACATCAACGGGAGGCAACTTGATAAGGCCTGAAAAATACCACCAAAGACGTAGTGCTTAGGGCAGCCTGAGGAACAGAGGTCATTTCCTGCAGGAGCGCACAGGAGCGGAGCTCCGGCAGTAAAGAGCCCAGGGGGTGGGCACATGCAACAAGCCC